TTTCTCGGAATGTACAAATTAAAAATATATTCAACTATACAGGGTGTTCCACTTTTCCTGGCAAGACACCAACTTAATAGAAAGTTACCATGAGTTTTACTAATTANTACAGCCCGAACGAAATATAATTGCACTTATAACAGTTATAACCTCACAAATATCGCGAGCGAGAAACACGCAGCACCAATACAACCGAAACGAAACTGACCACGCCGGGCCGGCACGCGCGCCGCCGCAACAAACACAATACACAAGTCATATGAGGGAGGATGAAGGGAGTAATAAATGTATTGTTGCCCTGCCGCCCAATGTGCAAAGGAGATGCCTTTGTTTTTCATTTTATCCTTCATAAATATATAACTATTAATCCATAATGCATAAAGAAATTATTCAATTTCCAAAACCCCCTAAAACGTGTTGCACTGATTCCCTTGATAGGCAATGATTTATTACTTTGCATCGAATATGATCCTACTATAGAGCGTCACTTCACGTGTCAAGAGGCCCTTCATGCGACTGTTGGTTATATTGTCGTGACACAGGGAAAGTGAACTTGAAATTTCGCCCATGTTCCCCGCTACAATCCTTCAAAAGGACCCTCTATAGCACAGTTCCCATCAACATAATACGAATCCCAACCCACAAAGTGCAGTTCGCGCCTAAAAATAGGAATCCACACGACATAACATAGTTTCCGCTCAAACTTAATTTTCAACGATGTTTCCAAATATCCTGTTTATACGTCGCAAGACGCGGTTCCCGCCAAGTAGTGTCTAATCATAGACAAACTACAAAAGACCACCTACTACGTCACGTTTTCGCCAATCTTTCCACCAGGCTCCACAGGCGTTACGATTGTCTCCAGAATTGCCCCAGACGTACCCATGACGATGGTGCCACGCATGCGACCGAGCGCTGCGCTCCTCCGACCATGCAGAGGTAAGCAAATTTCACATACCTTTCGAAAATTCTCCCGCCACGACGACGAGGGACCACCAACGTGCTACAGATGCCCTTGGCGCTGCAGACACGTTGTACCCCTCTGATCGTTTTGGAAAAAGACAAGAATCTCACGTATCTTTTCAAAATTTACCCGCCAAACTACCTCGAAGATATCATTGTATTCATTCAAGTTGAATTTTTGTCAATTTCTAAATTCGTCTTAATTATCTTCTTCAATTCTATCAATGACAGATATTTTCTTGCTTGTTTCAATCACACAAATATTATTATTATATTTAAGAATATGTGTGCCTTTGTCATTCAGAAAAGTGGGACTATGTCTATTGAGATATTTATTATTTTAATTTATATTATTTATATTAAAATATGTTGTCTATTATTTCTTTATGAGAATAACGTCAGAGTAGGATTACCTACTATTTTTTACGACATGTACAATTTACTCCCGGGCCATAGATCCAGACGGACATTATATTCTCATATTTTTTCAATTAAACCATCTTGCTTTCGACTTAACGGCGCCCAAGGTTTTGGCATTAAAAACATAATATTTAAGTAGGTTTTCAAAAATTACAATTCATTAAATTAACTATTACTATTATTACTTTTAATTTTATCACGTTGTATTAATATTCAATGTGACTTAATAATTTTTTAAGCTTCATTTAATCAATTTAAACAAGAATCAAATTACGCATTAGATTATAAAACATTGTTTTTTATGATAAAATATTTTGTGAAAAAGGTAGTTTGATGTTCAAAATTCGAATAGTTGATTACCTATTTTTTTATAACCGGCTTAGTAAAATGTCCTCGTGTTGACTTTTCATTAAAATAACCTTGAACACGTTTCTAAAGCTATTCTGAAGGTTAGTTTAAAATGGAACTACAGTCCTAACTAGCTAGTAAATCTTGGTCATCAGTTAAAAACTATGAAGTACCTAATTTAATATTCACAATATAATTACAGGTGTCATTGACTAGCATATTATTTTTTTTTGAAATATACACTTTTGAACAGTACAACATTCACGAAGACATCTTTTAATTGAGATATGTTATAACTTTACGTTAGCTATTTCCCAAATTTTATTTCAGTTTATTTAATACTGATTGTAGTTTATCGCTATATGGTTTAAAATTCGTACCTGTCCAACAATCGGAATGAGAAATTACCGTTTAAATTCCTCATTTCAATTGTTGTACAGTCTAGTTACAATAATGGTGTTCCTGAGTACAGGTTATTAAGACATTTCCGTTTTCGCCGACATACAGTATACAGTTTCGTAAATTTTTCAAAATTTGGCACTTTCATCACTAACATCCTCAATTAGGGGATGTTTGAAGCAAATTTGCTTTTTAGACGATTGTTCATTGTAGTTGAATCGTACGCCATCAAACAGGATACGAAAAATAGTCCAAGGAAGGAAGATGTAACAACATTTTCTTGTCAGTCAGTGCGGAACAAGAGGGAACACATGGATTTTTGGTGTACACCTATGAGAACGTCTAGAATTTCATGGAAATCTATGACGATTTTTTTAGAACATTTAGGATCTAGCAACATGTACAGGAATTTAGAAGGATGATGGTGATCTACTTTATTGAGTGCATCTGCATGATAGTAGATAATTTCTTCCGCAGTCTTTTAAAAGTGAGCTCTTGAACAATGAAATTTGGAACTGAGTTTTACTGTATCAATTAAGAACCTAACGCCAAAAAATTAATTAAAAATTTTAGTCGCGTGGGTCTCATATTGAGGATATTATGGATAAATATTGCTCCAACTCTTTCGTTGCAACAGTTTGACCCAAAAATTAAAAATTTTAGACAAAATTATAGGAAGAAGTGCTCTTTTTCCGTTTTGAGGGGATTGGAATATAACAGAATATGATATAAATATTTAAAAATTATGTCAAATATAGAAAATACGGGGTGGTCCCGAGGTAATGGGCCAAATTTCATGGGTAGATTCCCGAAGCAAAAAGCGATTTAGCCGAACTTACCTTAGTCCAAAAGTTGATAGTTAAAGAGATACAGGGTGTTAAATGTAAAATATTATTTTAGTTTATTTCCATTTATTTCTTAATAAATGTAAATATCTACACAAGATTTCGGGGTTTGGGGTTCTTTGGATAGAGGTATTGAAATTTGCTCTCATTTTGATTATAGTTCATAGAGGGCGCCAGCTGCCGTAGATTGAAGGTGTTGGAAACGACATAACTTTTTTGTACTTAAAGGTATTTCATCTTTGGTATCAAATTTTACAACTTTTTTACACAAAAAGGGTAGACTTTATGAAAGTAGCTGTCTCGCACCGTTTCCGAGATACTTGGCTTTGAAACTTCCAATGCTAATAGTTGAAATAATTAAAATAATTTAGAAATGTCAAAAACAAGGGTTTATTTAGAATTAAAAATTGTAATGAACAGTAAAATAGTAAACATTAGTAAAAAATATGCCTTTTTGACAATAATTGCTCAAAATGTCCACCTCTAACTTCAATACATTTATCAACACGTTTATTAAAAGATTGTCTTATTTTAAAGTATAAATCCTTAATGCGAAATGACTTTGCAGCATTTAAAACCTGCTACTAAAGTTCTTCTCAAGTGTTTATAGTTTCTCCATAAACAACTGATTTCATGTAACTCCAAAAACGAAAACCTCGGCATTCTATCTCACATTTATGTATACGAGTATACAATTTAATTTGTAAGCTAAGATGTAATTTTAATTAGATACGAATAATACTTAATAGAAATTAGCATACAAATGACAGCAATAAGACAAGTGGAAGACGTCAATTATTTGATTTTCGTCCAAATCCTACTTAAGAAACTTTACCGCTAAATTAATAATACCTGTAGGTACTTAATTGTAATTTAATGCAACAGTATTGGAAGTTTCAAAGCCAAATATCTCGAAAACGGTGCGAGATAGCTACTTTAATAAAGTATACCTTTTTTGTGTAAAAAAGTTGAAAAATAAGAATTTGTTACCAAAGATGAAATACCTTAAAGTACAAAAAAGTTATGTCATTTTTAACACATTCAATCTACTGCAGCTAGCGCCCTCTATGAACTTTAACCAAAATGTGAACAGATTTCAATTCCTCTACTCAAAGAACTCCAATCCCCAACATTTTGTGAAGATATTTGCATTTGTTAAGGAATAAATTAAAAAATCTGAAATAATATTTTACATTTAACACCCTGTATCTCTTTAACTATCAACTTTTGGACTAAGGTAAGTTCGGCTAAATCGTAATATATTTACTTGGGGAATCCACCCATGAATTTTGGCCCATTACCTCGGGACCACCCTGTATATGAAACACAATTTGTAAACATCTCGCTCCTAATAGTCATGGAAACCAACTGATAATCTTTTATTGACAAGAAGAATTCCTCAAATCTGACCGCTAAAAATACAAATTTGTGCTAAAAATTCTCTAAAAACTCTATAAATACGAGTTATTAAGGAAATTGTTGATTAAAAATGTATTTGAAAATAAAAAATATAATTTAACTGTTATCTTGATCAAATATAGTTTCTGTGTAAACTTGTTTTATTGGTTTTTCTTTATTTGCTAAAATAAATCTTTTGCATGTTTAATGAAATATTTTGTGACACCTTGTATAAATCTCAGCAGATGTTACATTTAACTAAAAATAAGAGGTAATTACTGGGATGTAAGGAGATTTACTAAGGAATTATTAGTATATAGTGAAATGTAAAGGGTTGAAGTAGGATTTACTAAGGATTGCCCATAATTTAAGCTAAAATTACTGGGTTTATTTCAAAACAAGGATGTAGATGTACACTTTTTAACCAATGTGATCCCATTCAGGATTTATACAATTTCAATGCGATTATCTACTATTTCTCATATTTTATTTCGACTCAGTCGAACTCGATTTCGACTTCGTTTCGACTCGACTTCGTTTAGTTCGACTCAGTCATGGCTATTAAAAATTTAATGTCACCGGTTTTGTCTTGAATAGTATTTTTGGACCAAGGTACGTAGACAACACAAGGTTCTCTAATATTCTGTACCACGACGTACCTGGTTGAAAAGAATATTTCTATTGAGCCAATGAAAATATCGTTGCACCGACCCTAATTTTGGGGCGCGAATCACATATTTTTTAGGTAAGAGTCCATCTAAAGGAAATCATCAAAGGTGTACTACTCAACGTCGTTCCGCAGTCCCGCTTTGAACTCCGGAGGGACTTGCTTTCGGAAACAGTCATCCAGGAATTGCCCCATGCTTTTGTACAGATGCTTTTTCACTCCACTTAGGTTGTGGCTTTCATCTGGATATATCTGAAATTAAAACCATTAATGGCCAATTAAGCAGTGTAGAGATTAATGTATGAATGCATTTAAATATAGAAGTGATGAGTATCTATGGTACAAAAATCTGCAACAAAAATACAGAAGAATGGACATGGAATAGAATAGGTATACAGTGAGGAATAACTAGGATCCAAGGAAATTGTACGAGATACGAATATGGAGAAATGTAAAACGGGGAAATAAATTTAAGTTCGTCGTCTTACAGTTTATGGTAGGTAGAACACTGCAGGGCAATAAAGTAGGCAGTGAAATATATAACATATATATGACATTCTTCCGTGTGTTGAATATGAAAACGGATAAAAAATAAAACAAGGGAATGCGTCCGTAGATAGCGACTTTTGCACAAATCTCAAGTCACAAATAAAATACGACCTTTCGAACCCAATACCAAAGTATGGTTTCTATATAGCTATTTGAACAAAAGAAGCCAAAAACTGCCTTAAAGTTGAATAAGGAAAAAAGATAATTTGGTAAAATTAAATTTTTAATTAAAGACAATTACAAAATCCTGGCGTGCTTTTATCATGAAAGTTTATTGGCATTTTCGAGTATTTTTTTTTAAACACAAAAAACCTTATACGACATGGGTCCTTAACTCAACCATTTCCGAGAAAAAATTTATCAAAATTTCCAACTCGATGCACAAAAGTTCGATAAATTAAGAAATATTGACATAACTGGTTGAACTTCTTTATGCTTTATTCTCAAAAATAATTAGCGATGTAATAAATTTAAAATTCGATAAAATTCATATCGAGCAATATGACAACGGCGCGGCGGATAACACAAGGTACAAGCTGTCCAGCAATACGCAATTCACTTGGTATCTGGAACTGGACCGTATCTGAGTGTTTTTGCATACCATTATTTCCTTTTCTTGAGGTGTTTTCCAGTGAGTGCGCGAAAATTGGATTCGAAGGTGTCGTGCGTGCATTGAAAATGGCGGTGGACATTTGTAGTTTGTTTTGTACTTATGCGTTTAAAAATTACTGAATTTTGCTTTTTGGTATGTACCTAAATTATTTTTAATACCTACGTGTGATTATTTGGATGACGTGAATTTTTGGGTACATACAATACATATAATAAAACGTTAATGGTATGAATTTTTATATAAACAATTTAGTGAAATTAAATGTGTATCATTCCATAACTAAAGCAAATAATTCATAATTAATTATGACCAGAAAAAAACATTGTATAACGTTTTGTTTTTCTTTTGATTTTGAGTTAGAAATATAGGACATTTTAACCCCATTTAAACCTTGTCTCGTTAAATAATTTCCATCCAAGTAAGTAAAAGTATATTCTCTTAAGAAATGTGTTTTCTAAAATATCTGAAAAATAGATTTGGCAACAATGCTATTGTTGTAATCAGATCAGCCATGTTCCTGTACCCCTAGATGACAAATTAGACATTAGCGAGATAATCCGTATAAAACTTATATACTACGAGGGCTGTATGATAAATACCTGGCCTAAGCACGAGATGGGGCTCTGCGCGGTTTAGTTTGTAAATGCCATTTAAATAGAACAATTTTTGTAATTTTATAACAATGGAAATCATTGAATATCGAGCGGTGATAAAATACTTGTTTTAGGAAAAGAAAACAAATGATGGGATTAAAAAGGATCTCAGCGAAGTTTATGGGGACTCTGTACCTTCGTTATCAACCATAAAATATTGGACACCTGAATTCAAATGTTGCGGTACGAGCATTTTTGATCAAGATCGTCCAGGTCGTCCTAATGAGGTTACTACTTCAGAAATAATTAAAAAAATCCGCGATATCGTGATAAACGATTGGAAAGTGAAAGTGCATGAGATTGCTGAGACTGTGACCATCTCAACTGAACGGGTGCACAATATTTTAACTCATTTGGATTTATGAAAAAACTTTCCGCAAGATGGTGCCGTGATTGCTCACAACTGACAACAAACAAACATGTGTGATTTCAAAAGAATTTTTGGCGATGTTAAAACGCAATAGGAATTATTTTTGGAGTCGGAAAAGAAGGTTAAGGCGACTTTATCGGCGAACAAAGTCATTACTACAGTATTTTGGGATGTACGCGGCATAATTAAGATCTATTACATTGAAAAGGACAAAACGATAAATGGAGAATATTATGTGAAATTATTGATCCGTTTCAGCCATGCTGTAAAAAAACGTCCGCATTTGGCGAATTAAAGAATCCATTTCCATCAAGACAATGCACGCATGTACACTTGCGTCGCGTCGTGGCCACGGTAAAATTACATGAGTTAGAATACGGATTGCCTCCACCATATTCGCCAGATTTAGCCCACAGGGATTGTCTCCTATTTCCAAATATGAAAAAATAGCTCGGCGGTCTTATTCTATTCCTATTTTTTTAGAGGGGATAGAAAAGATAGAAAAACGTTGGACTAACAATAAGTGTATCGAACTGAAAGGTGAATACGTTGAAAAATAAGATAAATTTTACACATAAAAATGTTTTTTCTGTCGAGGCCAGGTATTTATCATAAAACTCTCGCATTTAATCGCCCCTGATTTATTTTCCATATCTGGCTCAAAAGATTTGTACTGCAATATTCTCAAATGAATAAATGAATAACAAGACAAATTGTAGTAATCCTGCAAAAAATACCGGGAATGCACAGTGAGGGGGATCAGCTTTTGTAATAAATTACACTAGCGAGTAAACTATAACAACCTTTTCGTGATTTCGTTCTTCTAGTTTGATTTATAAATTATTCTATACTCAAGGGAAATAATTTTCAAACGGTTACAGAAAACTTTTATAAAACTGATAAGGTTTTGTATTAATTTTCGATTTTATCCGGTTTTCAAGTTCAACAAAACAGTTTTTGTAAATAAGTACCTAACATAGATTACAAAAAAAAAAAAAATGAAAAAGGCAAATATCCTGGCAATAAGGAAACCATTCCAGAAAATATTAATCAGGTAATGCTTAAGTATGACTGTGCTGAAAAAAAAATATGATTTCTAGTAATTTATTACTCCAAAAGATTTTACTAATTGAAACCATAACGTAGTTAAAATATGTATTAAATATTTCAGTTCCATATATCGATAATAACTAAATATGAAAAATTAAGTGTAACAAAAGCCGGGACGCGCAGTCATTTATTTATTAGTTCTCGGAAAGTAAGATATTTCAATCATCATAAATTATCGGAGGGTTAATGGTTTTCAAGTAGTAGTTCGCCAAGACAGTCCTTCGGAGAAAATTACCAATATTTTAACAAGTTCACTTAGACTGTCGAGGCCATGTGTTAAGCGTCTGGGAGGCGCCGCGTAGAACCCCATCTTTTTAATAACGCGCGAAACCACAAAAAGAGCGTAGAAATTCCACCTTAGAATTAAATTATATTGTAAAATTGATAGTAATTCGAAAAGAGAGTATACCTAAGCAGCTGGGTTTTTTGACGGATTTTTCCTAGCTCTAAGAGTAGATTAAATGAGATCGACTAATCCGTCCCGTAAATTGCTACGCGGAGTCAGAGGGGAAGGCTAGGGTTACTAGTGAGTCATATAATTATTGTTATAAATGTAAATTCAGTCAATTAGATAAATATACAAGCGTTCCGATATTCAGGTTCTCGCCAATAAGATGAGAACCGAAACTTCTGGACCCAAGAAATGGGCGTGGTCAAAGCGAATTGTGGAATTCAGGAAGGATCCCGAGAAAGTCAGTTCGTTCTTAAGTTTCACATTGAGCAGACTAATTATTAACTTTAAAGTCTCGGGCTAATTAATTAATTTTGATAGTTTTTCTAAATTTTGTATAGAGCGCGCATTCCCTGAATCTCGGTACGCTGTCGCGATTGAATCCATTAATTAATAATGTCATCGAGCCGTTGTGTTTTTATTTTGTTTGTTTGTTTTGTTTATTGTTAATAAAACCCTTCCTGGAAGTTTTGTGTTTCCTTTGTTTCTCCAACTTCAGTGCTACCCTGTATAGCCAGCCACTGGATTACATCCCACGTAAGCAATGAAAGGGTAAGTGCTTGGAAGTAATTTTCTGAACATACAACATTTCTAAGTTCCCACGTGTTAATTAAAGTACAACGATAACTAAATAAACTCCCTTTCGAAAATTAAGTAGTCACTCTTTCGAGAATTGAATAGTAACTCTTTTGAGCATTAAATAGATAATTAATTAAAGGTAGATAATTAAAGAAATTACCCCTCAGGTTACATAAGTATGAAAGTTTTGTAGCATTTTATGGCTATTTCGTTAAAGAGGCCATTGAGGTCCCTAGATCGTCTTTTATTTTAGTATCTGTTGTTTTTGCTCTGGCATCTATTGGATTTTTTTATGTACGAGTAGTAACCGTTTTTTAGAAATAGTTATGGAAAATTTTAGTTTCACAAAGAAATCAAGAAAACGTATCTTTTTTTTTTGGAGAGAAAGAAGGGGAGCAATCTTGTGGAGATTCCATTCAAGTTCTTGTCTATTATTCTAAACTTAATTTTTCGGCTACTAAAAATATACCCAGCGTATTTGCTTTATTAATTGGAACAATTTAGAAGGATATTGGCAGTGTAACTATTTATTTAGATAAAAAATAAGTGCATACCTATTTTGTTAATTGAATCTAAAAAAAAACCTGTTAGTATAAAAAAAGTGATAGTTCTTTTATTTTTCCCACTTGAAAAAAAATTTCTGTGAACTACATACGTTTTACAAAATTCATTCGACTCAATATAAATGAAATAGTATTAAGTGTAACAAAATGGTGTGCAATTGTAGGCAGTATGAACTAATTTCCATTTTTTAAACAAGGGTTAATACAAGTTCCTAAATCGATCAAAGGAATAATTGTTGCATTATGGACAAAATTAAAAATCTCAGATTTCAGTCTTTATCAGTCTCTATATAAGATTCTGAATAATGTAAAATATTATCGAGGTACTAACGTTGATATATTGAATGTGAGACGATTGACGAGTTGTATAATTACAATTGTATAAATAAATAGAAAGTCATCAAAAGTTAATTTTGAATATTATCATGACAAGTAGCTCTTAAACTGTATATGTATTACTTGAGGAGATAAATAAAGAGTATGGTTAAGATGTTACGGGCTCAATTTTCTATAACAACTGAATGATGAAAACCTCATCTCGATATCTTGATTTGTTTTTCATGACGTAGAACAATTTTTTTGTTGTGAAAATTGTAGATATTCTCGCAAGTCGCTACGCTCTATTTTCATATATTTAATTTTAGGATTTTATTTTCAGTTATAACCCAAACATATATATTTTTATGGGGAACACTTTATATTTTTCGATTTTTTAAATTACATAATTGCTCTCAAATCATATAGAACATTTATAAGTACAATTAAGTGGGCCATGGATAACATTAAGTAGGATTATAAAACAGTTGAATTACAAGAAAATAATTTTTGATGTGGTTAAATAAATTTTTGTTGATACATTATTTAAAAGAACATGTTACACAGACTTAAAAAATATGTAGTGTTTCATTAAAGAAAAAAATAAGTTTTGGTTGTAACTGAGAAATCGGTGGTTATAGAATAATAGCGCGTACGCTACTGGATTCTATGAAAAAAACTGAAACAATTTTTGCAAATAAAACTGAATTAATTCGACTAATTCTCTAAAAAATACCAGAAATTTAAAAAGTTTTTTGTCTCTTAAATGAATCAAGATATCGGAGTGTGTATTCTAATTTTCATCGGAACTAATTAATTACAGTAATTCCTATTAGAAAATAATCATAATAATTTAATCAAATTAAACAATGGAACTAATTCGTCTACTTTTCACGAAGAATATTCAATTCCATTCTTTATTTAAAAATATATCTTTCTTAAGAACAGAAATAAACACAAATATGTGCCTGATCCCAACCTGCTGCCTGAAGAGGGTTCCTGCCTCGGTCAGAGATTTCACAAGTGCCATGGACTGCTGCAGATGAACGTTGTCATCCGCAGAACCGTGGATCAAATAGAACATCTTGTCCTTGAGCTGGTGAGCCTTTTTGCTTACGTCCGCCTCCTCGTAGCCCTTGTAGTTGTCAGTCACATTTGGCAGACCCATGTATCTCTCTGTATAAGCAGAGTCTGAAGAAATGATTAGATTAGAGAGATATATCAAAAAAAGTCTTGTGTCATTAGCCTTAAACAATTTGTAAAAGTTGTATAGACGCGCATCTATTTTTATAAATTTTCTTTTGATTTCCAGGAAAATTACAAGAATAATTTTTTATATTAATTTTTTTTTCCACAAAAAGTGTCAAGTGTTAGTTTTGAGTGAATAACTCTCTTAAAAGGTGCAGGGGACTTTAAGCTTGAATTTATTTGAATTTGATTAATATATTTTTAATAAAATAAAAGTCAACGGCTTTTCTTAGTAAAGGTTATTCAGAAAAAAACATTATTTTGTATGTCGACGACGTCGTAACCCTGTTTAAGACATTCTGAAAAAATAAATAACAATAGAAATAGATTGCAATTTATTTACCCTTCATTTTTACTATACTTATCTATAGTCTAGGAGACAGATAGGGTTCCGTGGTCAATCAGAGTGCCACGGCTGCAAACAACTTATTCTTAAGTATTTTGAACTCCTGAATCCAAAAAACAAGTCGCAAAGCCTGAAAGTGGTCAGTTTAATTGTTATTAACAAATTAAATGTTTAAATGTCTGTAAAAAGTTTATTTTTATAGCTAGTACAATTTTTTATGAGCGCGTACATCGCTCTCGACGTACGCGTTTCTCTTCACGGGTTTTGATAAAGAAAAACTAATAACTATAAGGCATGTGATTGTTAGGATGTGAGGAACAATATCTAGTAACTTTTTTGACTTTTCAAGTTGAATAATAAAAAAGCCTTATAAACAAATAAAACCAGCATTTTCGTTGAAATTTCACAAATTTCTAAGCTGCTATTAATTTTTAAATAAATAAATTAATAAATGGAACTGTCCTATCTTGTAAAATAAAGTTCAAGCTTTAAAATGAGATGTCGTGCGTCTTAATCCGTCCAATAGAACCAGAGATATGGTAAAATTGGTGCGCGCGGAGTCGGAAAATGTAAGATATTTGCAGTAAATAACTGGTTAAAGTTAATCTTTTTTAATTTTCCAAAAAATATATGTTTGTTATGAGAAAACGTAACTATTGACGCATAAAAAATTGTACTAGCTGTAAAAATTAACTTTTTACAGTCATTTAAACATTTAATTTGTTAATAACAATTAAACTGACCACTTTCAGGCTTTGCGACCAAGTTTTTTCGATTCAGTAGGTAAAAATACTTGTGAATAAGTTGTCTGCAGCCGTGGCACTCTGATTGGCCAGGCAACTCTATCTGGCGCCTCGACTATTATATTATCGACTGTAATTAATTATTCAAATAAAATGTACTTTTTTTTTTAAATCGTTGACGTCATAACCTCTATATCAGAAATTCTGAAAAAGACAATTTTCTACGTGAAATAAACCTTATTTACTCCCATTTGCGAGCATGAGTATTTTCTGTTCGTTTTTTATTTCCTTGTAACAATGTCGAGGTGTCAAGTTTGAAGCAGAAAGTACGTATTGCATATTTTTCATTAGAATTGTAAGAAAATAGTGATTATGTCTCTCAATTACGATGTAATTACTTTTTTTAAACATTCAAAGAAATTTCATCTTAAAACAGTGATTACTTATAATGCAGGATGTAACAGATTCTATATGTAGGTATTATCAATTTTGATAACAAAAATAATCAAAATCAATAAATTAATTTATTATACTGACGGCCATCCCCTGAACAGAGAAAATTGTTACCGAGATAATTTGCCGCTAATAGCTCCAATGTTTCAATGAAATTAAACACATAATTACTCACGATACGACCAGCAACTTACCGTAAAGCTTCCAATTGGTAACCGGAGCTACAGCGATGGCGCACTGAAAGACGCTCTTGGGACTGGCAAGGGCCAGAGCAGCTACAAATCCTCCATAACTCCATCCCCAGACCGCGACTCGACGCTTATCGATAAAATGTTGAGTGTCTCTCAAGTACCTGTAAAATCAGTATTTTATTATATTGTAGGAAAAACATAACCGATACGTATCAAGTTCAGACAAATAAAATGAATAATTTCTTAAGAACAAATAATCGCTATTGAAAACTAAGCACTGAATGGAGAAGCAAATACCTTTCAAATAAGGTATCACTCAAATTCTTGCCATTTAAATTTTACGGGTTGGGAAACGATGAGGGGGATGGGAGAGGAGGAGCTTACATACTTTACCTTAAAATAAAATTGCGGTTTCATTGAAGTATATACTTATAAGTAAAGCGACCAGTGGCGGCTCGTGACATTGAGAATAGGTGAAGCATATTCATTGATTGATTAAAAAGAAAAAAAAGCGCCGCAGGCGAAAATTTTCAAATTTCCAAAGTCAAACGGCTTTAAATGAATCTGGAAATTTTTAGTGACATTTGCAATGTTACCGAAAAATTGACGTTCGCGAGAAAGATTTTCATTAAGATTTTATAAAAAATAGAAATATTAGTTCGGCTTGCGGACTTCTGGGAACATTAACGCACCCACAATTAAACACGGCATACAGAAAAGTTTTTTTAAATAAACACTTCCACACAACCACTTACGCTCGGAATACCATTCATTCCAAAACTTCAGAACGTAGTTGTTTTTTGACTTCCCCTTTTTTCCATATCGACAGAAAAAGGCACAGGTCTCTGACAATTTAAAAAATCCTTTTTGTCCTTAATATTCCATCTGGAAAATGGCGTTTCCAATAAAATACATACTGGGTCATATATAGAAAACATTTTTACAATTGTTATACAAAACAAAAATATTAATTAAGAACCGTTATAATCGTGCACTGGACGACGCTTATCGTATCAACTGTTTAAAGGCAGACGATGGGCGATGACAATGCGGCTTCAATTTCCGTGGCACTCGTTCCCCCACGCCGTAGTTTACTCCCGTGTTGGCCGCGCCTCGTTGCCATGACTACCGTCGTAAACAACGCTACGAAGAGAAGCGGAATACAGACTGATTTCGATCTGCGTCACTTGCTACGAGGTTGATGTTCGCACTCAACGAAGGTAATGTTTTTTTAGAAGGCGTTCAACACGCTATTCTGTTTATTTCTGTGTATTAAACAAATAAACAATACATTTTCAATATAGAATTATACCTAAAATATAAAATTTATATAATTGCACAACCAAACGGAAATTTTAGGTGAAGCGGTGCGTCACTTGCGTCACCTGACGAGTGTTTATTTTTATTAAAATGTTGAACTTATCTACGATAAAACTGTTCGAACTGCGAACAAAAGCTTCCATAAACATGGGTCGGAAAATACTTAATTTTTGACATAAGCTTGTTCACGTTGAAGCTGCTAGAAATCGGTTTTCAATATACAGGGTGATTCGGTCATAATGTCATTAACTTTTAAGAAAGATAGAGAGAAATGAGTACAATACGAATACGCAATTAGATGGAGGTGGCAATATGACAAGTTTTAAGTGTCACCGGGGATGGAAATCTTCTACGTGGCAGAAAGTCTATCAAAATAAAGTAAACACAGCAAATAATGTTCTAAGCTTAGAAGATAAATAGAATCGATCTGAAACTTCCAGAAACGAACCCAATATTATTTATAGAACCGGCCAACTCCAATGTGTGTCCTCCACACGATATCCCAATACTGGCTGTTGCAAAGATGGCGAACTACTGTCAACGTTGGTATAGTTGTGAACACGTCAGTGTATTTTGAGGACCAAATGGATAGTGGACGAAGTAGATGTTGTGGTTGCAAGTTATGTATCATATCCTGGTATTCATGATTCAGAGAGTTTTTAATTCTTGTCTGTCAAGGAGTAGAAGAATAATTGAAAATGCATTTGGTATAAAGGATATTCCGGATATTGCGAAAGCCAATCTTATTGGAACCAGACAAGACATCACTTACATAATTTCTTACCAAAAAGTAGAACATCAAAAAATATGTATATTCCAGGCATCGGACACTTTATTTATATAAGGCCAACCATTCCAATATGACATTATTGTCAATATACAGGGTGTTAATTAAGTATGTACAATAAATCCAACAGACAATTATTTGTGTGATTTTAAGACAAAAGGTTCATATAAACATTAGTCAGCAGATGCTTCGTTTTGAAGATACAGGGTGTTAAACTTTTGTAAAAAAATTGCTATTTTATAAATATCTTAAATACCCTTTACCCAATTTTGTTGTAATTTGGCAGTGTTATTTGTAGTGTTAAGGGTCTAATTTAACCCTAACTTGATTAGATTTATTAAGTCCAGTGGCGTCCTGAGCCTAACCTTAACGAATATTTTTGAAAAAAAAATGTACGCCTCTGACTGTAATTTTTATATATTTTTTAAATTAAGCAACTAAAAATACAACTTTTTTGTCTCTTGAATGTTTTTCGTATGTATTGATTAATTTTTGTAAAAAAAATAAAATCCACTTAACTGCATATCCCTGGATCACACAAGAAACATGAGGAAAAGTTTATTTTGGAAATTATTATATTTTTATAATTTTTTATTAATAACATATAACATCTAAATAACATAAAGTACAAATTCCAACAAAATTGGGTAAAGGGTATTTAAGATATTCACGAAATAGCAATTTCTTACAAAAGTTTAACACCCTGTATCTTGAAAACGAAGCATCTGCGGATCAATGCTTATATGAACTTCTTGCCTTAAAATCACTCAAATAATCGTTTGTTGAATTTATTGTATATACTTAATTAACACCCTGTATGGTTCTGCTATAGTTCTCCCTCTAGTGGTACTAAACTACTGAACACAAAATTATAACTACGAATACGGACCAACATGTCACATCGTGTGGACGGCTTTACGATGTAAACAAATGCCAAGACCAATGTTCACAAAACCCTTTGATGTGTCTAATTTTACCACCTCTATGTAGAGCGAACGTCGGCCAGCGCAAGCCCAAGCGAACGTTGGTGATAAGTTCACGGTCCACACGGCAGGCCCAAGCTGGGCCAGCTACACATTGGCCCAGTCTGCCTATGCCGTGCGGCGTCGGCTTAACACAAATATGATTCCTAAATTGACCCGAACTTCATCACTTGATAATACAGTTCCACAAAAGAAATCGAGAAAATTACCCCTGGACTCTGACTATGTCTATCATATGTTTTCGGGGTCGCTGAATCCAAATTCGGGGTCCATTTAACCCCATCACGTCAGGATTTTTTATAACCTCAAATAATACGCCCAAAAACGCAATAAATCCTCTATCCATTGACCACTCAATCCCAATAACCCCATAACCTCTTAACCCCTTAAACCCCATAACCTCAAAATGCCATAACTCCAAAATCCCAGACTCCTATAAGAAGTCTAGATTAGAGGGTAGGGCTTCAACGCGCATAAGTCTCTTTCTTATCGGGTTATGGCATTTTGTGGTTATAGGATTTAAGGGATTAAGGGGTTAAGGGGTTATGGGGTTATTGGGATTGAGTGGTCAATGGATAGAGGATTTATTGCGTTTTTGGGCTTATTTTTTTGAGGTTATGAAAAATCCTGACGGGGTTAAATGGAATTTGGATTCAGCTACCCCGAAAACATATAATAAACATATTCAGACTCCAGGGGTAATTTTCTCGATTTTTTTGTGAAGTTGTGTAATTGTACCTTGCATAACAACAACATCAATATTAATAACATTTAAGTTATATTTTTTATATAAATTTATCACCAATAAATATTCTGTTGTAGTTCTATAAATTACTGGTGAGAGTATAAAAAATATTGTACGCGCCACACTTAGAAAGTGTATTTACAGAGCTTTCATGCTTCATACTCGCCCTGTTTTCTGATCTCTCTCATATTGACATCATCAAAACATGATTTACGATGTTCAATTCAGTTGGACTCGGACATTTACTACAACAAAACATGAGTCGAATTTAATTCTCTAGAGCAATTAAAAATTATCTCTTTAACACATAAGAGGCCATTCGAACCTGAACATTGGGGTGGATCAAATTCGGTACGAAGTCTCATAAACCGCCAGAGCTCATAAAACACGAAGCGGTGAAACGGGTCACGAGTCGAAGTAACAATTTATACATCGCAAATTTCAGAACATATAATGGCGCATTCAGAGACTGCAGCAGACCGTGTGACAAATTAGTGTTACATAATGACCAACCTTAATCAGCTTTACCGTATTTATGGCTGCATTACTTCCAGCTGGCTAATTTTACGATTTTCAGGACGGTAACTGCGGTCGGAAATGCTCCGTTTTAATTTAATTGCTTCGGTTTCAAAATTTCAGGATGTTGTAAAAAATTGGGTAAATAAGTTGTGTTGTACCAAATAACATGTTATATCTGAGTATTTGCTTTATTTAACTTTTAATGAAGCTTTACGTTCTCTGCTTACGTTTAAGTATTTGTACTAATTATTTCTTCTGCTATCAGAAGCAATTGCCAATATTTTTCCTTGGTAATTAAATTATAAATGGATAAGATTTAATAAACAATTTTAACGACTTTTTTTTCTTTCATTGGCGGTTTCCAAAGTTAAGAAAATTTTGGATATACAGGGTTACAACTTCGCAAATGTCCAGGTATTTTTCTTATTTTAGGACTTACAGAAATGGTTAAATGGGCAAAAATGTGGAGAATATTATGGCGATCATGGATCCGATTTTAAATTTAGGCAATTCCGATTAGTTCCGAAGATATTTGAAGAAAACCGATTTTATGTTATTTCTCTTTTTAGTCGTATTTCACTTATTTTTCAAAATTTTTGGACAAAAGTGTGTAGTTTGTTATTAATTGATGTGAGGGATTGATTTTTGCTGTCAGTATTAACATATCTCTAAAAATGTGTACAGAGCGGTAGTTAACTTTTGTTTTTCTTATGAACGCCATATTGAATTATTGCCTCATTAGAAGAAAGGTGAAAGTCTCTTTACAACGATGTATAATTTATCGGGGTTTCATAAATAAATAACCAATGTATTCAATATAATTATAATTTTAACAAAAAAAATCAAGTAGCCATGTGAAGCAACTTTTTCTATAAATTAATTTAATAATAATAATATCTTTATTTACGAAAACCCCATAAATTCTACATCGTTGTAAAGAGAATTTCCCCTTTCTTCTAATGAGTCAAACATTCAATATGACGTCCATAATAGCACACTTTTACAGATACTTTAATTTTAACAGCAAAAATCGATTCTTCACATGATTTAATATCAGACTACACATTTTTGTCCAAAAATTTTGAAAAACGAGTGAAATGCGACTACAAAAAGAAATGGTATAAAATCGGTTTTCTTTGAGTATCTTCAGAACTACTTATTCGGAATTTTCTAAATTTAAAAACGAATCCGTGGTCGACATTAAATTCTGCAAAATTTTGCCCTTTTAATCATTTCTGTAATTCTTAAAATAAGAAAGATACCTAAGTATTTATGACAATTAAAAAGACTAATAAAAAATAACTTGCTGAAAAGAAGCTATATACATGTACTTTAACGTTAAGAAAGCGATATGCGACAGTCCGACTTTCTCTTACATTGAAATTTACTCAACAGTTGAAAAAAACGGCATTAAGACTTAAGAGCTTAAGATTATTGTAAAGTTACGGCTGCGTTAGGATTATGATCTTAAAGTTTTAATGCAGGAAAGTTTTACTTACATTTCTGCATTTTTCGAAAGAGTGAAAAATTCATATTAGTCATACGATCCTCTGTTGTCGGAGTTTTTAACTATACAATACCAACCGGGACTTGACATTTCCAAATAATAGACAAATACAGGCTGTCTACTATAACAAGCCACTCCTATCTACGACTCACTTCAAAAATCTTGGAATGTTTTTTTGTTCTATTTTTTGAGGCCCTTATGCTTGAAGAAACAAATTTAAGATCCATGGCCAATTTTATGAGTATAATATAAAAATAAATAAATAGTATAAAAAACCGGGAAAGCGCCGAAAGTTAAGAGTCGTTTAACTTTTTTATTTTAAGTGATCGAGAAAACTTATTTTATATACATTTTATGGCAAAACTGATATCTGTCATAAACAAGATTGTTGAAGTATAGTAGCCCTGTAGTAGGTTGGAATTTTACCTCTAGATCAGGGCGGATCTGTCGAAATATCCTACTTCTTGGATGTGAGAGGGGCAAGCTAATTTTTGCTGAAATACCTTGAGTACAACTCACATAATAAAAGTGTAGATCCCTAGATCTGGGTGAGGTCCGGAACATTTTTAAAATTGCAAAAATGTTTAAAAAATTTAAAAAATACCTATTTTATTTGAGTTTTTTACTTATATCTTGGAACCTNAGATCTGGGCGAGGTCCAGAACATTTTTAAAATTGCAAAAATGTTTAAAAAATTTAAAAAATACCTATTTTATTTGAGTTTTTTACTTATATCTTGGAACCTATGCATTTTGGAAGAATATTGAAGAGGAAACAAAGTTTTAGAATTGAATTTTGCACAATATACTGCAAGTTTAAAATGTTTAAATATATTACCGATGTTGCAAAATAGCAATAATTAATGAAAAAAAGGCAAAATAATCAAGTTTGTTGGATAATTTTTAAAAAATATTTTAATTGCTTCGAAGGCATTCTAATTTTGGTAAAAAAAACTTTAAGTATAATAAAACAACACACCAAATTTCATTAAAATCGGTTACATAGTTTTCACAAAATAATGAAAAAAAAAATTTAAAATTTTTAAAATGTTGCACAGCCTCAAATAAAGCATCTAGATACTTTTCCAGAAAAAAATTTCTTGCTCTCTCTCACATCCACCTCAAAACAGATCCGCCCTGGTCTACACCTGCAGTTTGAAATACAAACTTCTCTGTCATCGGTCCTATTTTGCAGTGGCTAAGAATATTCGCCTTCACAATTGCGTGACCAGGAAGGAACTATTAGCAGTTGTGAAAACCGTGACGCATTTCCATAAGTACATTTATCTCTCTGAACAATTCTTCACGTTGAGAACCGATCATGCCTTCTTGAAAGTTGTAATGTGTTATGCTAATAGGAAAAGAGGCACATGTCGGTCGCAGTCGTTTTGGAGTTTATTGACAACTATTTTTAGGTGATTCTCCAGAGTCCGGCCAAATCTCTCCACCATGCCGTCAGATTGTGGATACAAGGGTGTTGTTCTGGTCTTTTTGATATTAATCAACTGGCAATCTCTTTGGAACATACTCGATTTAAAATTTCGCCCTTGATCCCAACGCAGTTCTCTTAGAACGCCTAATCTGCAGATCCAACGAGAATTTCTGCTATATACCGTCAATGTCTCTTGGGATGTAGCTCTGGCCATTTACTGATTTCCAAATTATGTCTGGGGAAACGAAATTTTCTCGAAGGGAGCTCCAACGTTATACTGTTTCATATGACTTTAGCTTCTAGTTCTAGGTCCCTTGCTGTTGGAGCAGTCAGCATACCGGCGACATCAGTCTTCTATATCTGCTTGGCTTCTTACCCACTAGAACCTTTCTCTAACAATATTCAACGTCCTGTTAACGCCGTGGTGTCGTTTACCTACTCCACAATGGACTTCTTTCAGCACTTTGTTGGTTGCATTCCTTGGAAGAAGAACCTGCTACCTTCGTACTTCTTTGTCACCTGGACTGCCTGTCCAGGCCTTCCACTGCCTTTTCAGTAACACATTTTGTGAGATAAGGAGGTCCCATTTTGCCCGGTAACCTTTTAACATCGATGATTTGTCCGATATTTCTGTCCATTTGGTCGAGTCCCATGTTCCCATATCCCAGACTGTCATCCTTTCACTGGTCTTCACTAAGTTTTCTAGTTTCTCATTATCCATCCGTCACAATTGATCATCTCCGGAACAAATTTCCAAATTCTTTGGTCTCTGCTCGGTTGCAATGTGACCATCTTTCGGCGTACATTCTTTTAGATACTACGTTTCCATGAAATCGGGTAATAACACTGACATATTACTTCAATTTATATAAAATATAATAGGATATTGGAAATAATAAATAGAAAGAATCATAAAAACCAACAAGACGAAATTTCGAAATTTGGTAATTGGTCACTCATTTCTTGAAGAATACACTCTTTTCATTTTTATCATCAGAAACGTGAAATACATTAAGTTATAAATGGCGGCACCGTAGAAGAAACTTAGGGTATATACATATATTTTATATATCTTCAATGGTTACTGTAATTGATCAAAGTCTGTGTTTCAATTCAGATCGTTTTAGAAAATAATACTACACCTTGTTTTAAGGTAACTTACTCTTGCCAAGTTTGAAATCTGTATTTCTGTTTCCGAGTAATTAATTGATAATTTTACTAATAATTTTACATTCCTTATTTGAAAAAACACTGAATCCTTAGGGAAAAAAATATATTGTGACAAGGAAAATTATTCCCAAAGTTTGTTGCGTTTTTACGTGCTAATAAATTAATACATTAAACTCACTCCGTAACTTCCAACTGATCCGCCACTTCGACCGACCCCAATTTATAGTAGACTTTATGCAGAAGCTGGTGACCCTGCCCTCCGGATCCCCTGCCGTCGATCTGAGCGATTATAAAGTCCTTGTGCCCGCTCAAGTACGTGTTCCAGTCGATCCTCCAGCGCTCCGTCACCAGCTGACTCCCGGGACCGCCGTACACCTGGACCACTAGGGGATACCGGGTGATTTCGTCCTCTCGCAGGCCTGGAGGCAAGTGGAGACGCACGTGTGCCTGGTAGCCACCCGAAATTTGCACCTATAATCGATATGTTATGTTTGAAATCAGCTGTGTCATTATCACCTGTAATATAAAGTCTCACAACTCACGCATCGTCATCTAGTCACGTCAGTAGCAGTGGTATTTAGCCAGTCTCGTAAATGATGCATATTGGTGAGCGGGAAACATTGCAAGACAATTTCGAATAGTTTTTATAGGTATATTTGTTTTATTACAATAAGCGCCGAATTAATGATGTAATGCAGAACTAGAGACTTAACAATTGTATAACTAGTATTTTTCCATTTTTCTCTGAAGGAAAAAATTGTAAAAATATGAAAAAAGTGAAAAATTTGAAGAAACTCGAAATAACCTTGAAAAAATGCCTGCTATTTTCTTTGCTGTAATAAATCTCAATGTTAACTTTTCATGAATGACAAATGGATAGAAACGAAATGTCTGCTCCGTTTAATTATACAATTAACATTTAAATTGTTTTTAAGCAAATTAAAAAAAACAAGTTCGTTTAAAGGAAGATTTTCAGATTCTATGTCAGACGATTTTCATTCCAGGGCAGCTTGTTCCTGTCAGTCGGTCAGAATTAATTATTGCTATTATTGAGGCAAAAATTCTACATAATTTAAAAAAATGTTTTTGTTGTGTTTTGGCTTAATAAAACAATATAATTTTCTTTTACAAAAAATCTCTCAGTGTATCTATATTGTCCTTATTTGGCATTCAGACAAGTGAATATTACTAGAAACAACTTTTTTCTAAATAAAAATTTTCCCATTCTGTGCAAATTTTATGAAGAGCGCTGTATAGTATTTGAAATAAGTAACCATTCCTTTTTAAATGCTTTCCTTGGATAATTTTTAAAATCTACTTGGAAAATCTAGGAAAAATCATTGAATTTTTTTATCAAAATTTGGTATACACTGTGTTTTGGCTTTTCAGAAACTTTATCAGCTTATTCTAAAATAGAAAATGATCTGATGATTTTTGAATTAAAATAATTATAAAGGTTCCTTTCTATATAATAATGTATTATTATTTATATCAGCAAACTTTAATAAAAGTTCAATTTCTCTCATTTTTCTGAAAAAAAAAATGTTATTTCAGACATTTTGATAACATACTGTGCATCTCTATGTGAGGGAAATGGCATAATTTAACCTAAAGTTTTTGGTGTTATTACATGATATTATTATAAAAAAAAAGGAAATGACTTTGTACTAACTAGCATATACGAGGTCTGTTCAGAAAATAACCGAACTTTATTTTTTTAAATTTTATTAGTTTTATAAATTATTGGTCTTTGTCTTCTTTAAAAGTAAGTACTCCCCTATTCCCACACTTTTCCCAGCTGATTTTCATTTAGGAAAAAAGAAAAAAAATGCAAGAAACCAGGTCTGGCGAGTAGTTAGGGTGAGGAAGGACAGTAATCTGATTTTTGACACAATACTGATGAATAGACAAAGCTGAGTGTGCACGGTGCAAATACTATGAGTTGTTAGTATACATGGTTAACTGTTTTACCTTGAGGCAAGAATTCAAAATGCATAATTTCATTAAAGTCGAAAAATTATTGAGCATCACTTCATAGTGATGCTCATTGATTCAATGTCATCATTGAATTGATGTCCTTTCTTGGGGCGTGGATATCATTTGCCAATCCATTGTGATGATTGAGCTTTTTTCTCAATGTTGCAGCCGTAAACTCAGCTTTCGTCTCCCGTTATGATCCTTTGAATTTAATATTTAACGGTTTTTGGTTTGTTGAAAGAGTTGTCGACAAATGTCCACACGATTTTTTTTCTGTTGTTCGGTCATCAAAAGAGGAACAAAATTTTGCTGCAATTTTTCAGTCAGTCATGGCATGACTCAGTTGAGATGCTAACCTTTTCTGTAATTTTTAATCGACGATTTGCATGCACCAGATCTTCAACCTTTTTACATGTGACTCATCAATTGAAGTCGAAGGCCTTCCGGGTCGAGGATCAGCTGCAATTGACTGATGACCACTTTTAAATCGCGAAAACCAGTCTTAATATTCCGTACGACTCAGCGCATCATATTCGTAAGTTTGTTTCAAAAGTTGAAACGTTTCCGTGAAAGTTTTTCCCAGTTCCATGCAAAATTTTACGTTGCAGAAAATTGCACGTTTCAATAATCCTCACTAACACTTAAATACGTTGCACTCAAATAACGAAAACTAAATGAGATATCAACAACAGAAAAACATGTGATTCCAAAGGACGTTATACGCAACGCAATGCTGCCAACAGCATTCATTAAATATTTTCCATTTCCATTAGCGCGTAATTAAAAATGTTCTGTTATTTTCTGAACAAACCTCAATATTAATCACAGTTGTAGTAATTGTTTTTCGTTAAAAGATTCTGGAGTAATTTAGGGTTCCATTTTACAGATTAGACAAATTAGATTAGATGAATTTTATCTCATTGCAGAAACACCCCATTTGTTTTTTTAATATGTATTTAATAAAACATCGTTTTAAAATGTGTATACAGGGTGTCCCAAAAGTGACGCCCGTCCTTCTGGGATTTGATTAAGGGGACAAAAGCAAATCGAAAATCAAGAGTGGAAATTTTCCGATTGTTTTTCCTTGTTGAGTTATTCAAAAAAAAATATTCAAAAAATTATAAAAGTGAAAATCCATTTCTTTTTCTCAAAACTGAGGTTTGTGCTTATAGGATTTTTAATCAGAGGACTGACTCTTGGCATTATGGGTTGCTCAATTACTTCCATAATACAGCCTGAATAAAAACTACTGCATTTTCAATATTCCTATAATTTTGCTGCAAACTTTAACTTTCAAATACACCAATTATTACACTTAGCTGCATTATTAATAATAATACAAAGAATTATTGTTTTTTTTACAGCTTAGAAGAATGACGAGTACTACGCCAACTGAGCCATGTTTGCTTATTTTTTAATTAATTTTGAAGAATAAAATAACAGAGATTAGGTGTATTAAAACGAAGTGATCTAGTACTTATGCTGTGGCAATCATAAATAAATTATTGGATTCAACATGATGGAGCTCCGTCACATTATGGTTTACGAGTAAGAAATTACCTGAATCAAAACTTCCCAGAGGTGGACCCATAGCATGGCCTCCTAGTTCACCAGCTCCAAATAGATTTTTTCTTTTGGGGCTATTAAAAAAAAAGATTTACAACGATCCTGTTGTAAATCCAGAAAATGTAGTAACCCGTATGCACGCTGCTGTCCCGTTAATAGACCATGAGATGCTACAAAGGGTTAGTGTTTCAATGTTCAACGTGTCAATATTTGTCTTGAAGTAGAAGACAACTTATTTGACCTTTTGTAAAAACAATTTCTATTATATAAGCACACTATGGTTTTAGTTTATAAGGTTCTTTCCTCTCCTTTATATAAAATTGTTTTATTATTAAAAAGTTTTTCTCTATCCTTTTTAGGTTAAAATAATTCCTTACACCCAGGTACTACCGACAATCGGAACCTCAGTTTCGAGACAAGAATATTGGATTTTCACTTTTTTATAGTTTTTTTGAACACATTTTTTGAATAACTCAACAAAGAATCGGAAAATGTCCAACTCTTAATTTTCGATTTGTTTTTGTACCCTTAATCAAATCCCAGGACGGGCGACACTTTTGGGACACCATGTATGTTTCAAATAATAGAGTAGGGTAAAGAAGAATTTGTTAGGTAGCCAGAATTACAATAATATATGCCACACTTTATCATTAATTAATTAATAATAACAGGTTAAATAATAACACATTTTATAAAAAATAGTTTCTATGGAATTGATTTTTGACTAAATTTTTTCCACCAATCGTAATTTCGTATGTATATTGCTGTTTTATTTCACTGAATTATTAAGTGGCGTATCGATCACCAGTAAAGTGACGTCACGTGCAAAGTATTGAGACTTTTAAATTTAAAAGATAAATCGAAACTAATTTAGTTGCTTCTTACCGGAAACGTCTTAATCTGTGGCATAGCCATCTTGGCCACCCTCTCCCTCAACTTCGTATTATTCTGCAACCACATCAGCAATTTAGGCTTCGGCATAGCCGTCTTGTACAAACTGGTGGTAGGGATTCCAGGCCCCAAACACTCTAAGACGTAGTATGACGCACTCCAACTGCCACTGAAGATGGCGTTGTGATATAGACAAGGTGGTTCTTCATTGGACTTTTGCTTCTGCTTCTTCTTCCTCCGAGGAGGAGGTGTAGTTATGATCATATCGTCGTCTTCTTCTTCCCATGTTGAGGTTTTAACTCGATAGATGTTCTCGTCTAACGCTAGGAAAGGTGGAGTGGTAGGGACAAGTTCTTTCACACAGGTCAGACATATTGGGGGTGGCAGGGTGGCTCCTGTTCTAGGCGGGACAGAGGTGACTCGATATAGATGTTGCTGCCCAGGTTTACCTTCTGGAATTCCTAAAAAATATCTGAAAGGAAAACAATTGTTACTTAATCTGTTTTTGAATAAAATTATTTTGTTTCTACCACCGTGGGCAAGATACTGATCATTTTAGCATAAGAGTTTATTTTATAAATAAAATATGCTCCAAACAAATATTTCAGGCACTAAAACAATATTCAATGTCTTCGCACTAGGTGTAAATAAATATTTCAAATATTTTGCGAAAAATAAACTGTTCGCATTTTATTAATTCATTTTGGTGAATTATTCAGTAAAGGTTGTACCATTGGTTTTATAAGTTACAATATCAGATAAATCAAAGTACCAATATTATTTATTACAATTACTGCTTTTATTACGCGCTAATTCGTGACGTCATTCAGTGCGATCGAGAATTGAGAAAATGAATAACAAGGGAGTCCGACAGCATGAGCATAGAAAATCACAAGAAACTAAAGACAGCCAAATTCACTTTGTTTCGATGCTGTACGCGTGCGTGTTTCTTTAGATTAGGTTCCGTCATGGAAATTGTAGATGGACTAGAAACAGGTTATGTCCTCGGTAGCAGTAAATTATGTCATAAATTTTAAATATAGATAAATAAATTTAATTAAAAATAATAATCAATAGTTATCATTTGCCTTATTTTGTTTTGGGCACTAGACAGTAAAATTAATTATTTATAATGTTATTTTGAACCGCAAATACTGTTAGTAAATTTTGGTAAAAATATTCGTAAAAATTCGACTGGTAAAAAATTTTATATACATATACCTCTCACTGACATCAGTTTGTTGATGTCCAAAAAATGCAATTAGATTTTCACCTATATTAATAGTTGGGGTAAGAATTAATCACATTTACTAGTTCCTTCTCTCTTTGTGTCTTGAATAAAAAGAGCTTCAGGATAATATAAATATTTGTACAATATTCGACTGTTATAATATGCTCACATGGATAATTGAGCTCGCTATCCACAGCACAATTAACTAACTTCCTTGTTCGTATGTTAAACACTATATAAAGGTCTTAAAATGTAATATACATATAATACCGGGTAGGAAAGTACCGATGGTCTATCAGAAGTTACGTGAGAGCGATAAAGTAAGCCATAGAAATCTATGTGATAGACAAGGATGGGTATAGTGAAGGCGTCTAATAGTCACCGCCCATTTCGCCCTTCCACAAATAAGAAGTGGATCTTATTTGTGGAAGGGCGAAACGGGCGGTGACTATGAGACGCCTTCATTATAGCCATCCTTTTCTATCGCATGGATTTCTATGGCTTACTTTATTGCTCTCACGTAACTTCAGATAGACCATCGGTACTTTCCTATCCGGTATATATCACATTATAGAGGATTGCCTGCCGTTAATAGGAGAGTAAATTCAAATAAACCGTTTTCTAAATATTAATATTTAAATTAAAAGGCGGAATTTGGATAATTTACAGAACCTGATTACGTTGCATTAGAGCGTGCGCACATCCTGACAATCCTACCAATAATATTGGACATTTTATTTATTCTTTCTAAAGATTAAATAAAAAAATAAAATGAATGCAAACGCTGTGTAATGTAAACTACAACTTACCACATTTTTACATCATATTATTATCAGAAAAAATTTACAGAATTCGCTATAAAGGAAGTTTCTGATATTTTGGAAAAAAAATATTTTTTATATTATTTGATTTTTTATTCCTATGAATGAACATTACGTGTTAAAAGACTGTATAAAAATGAATTGAATAACAAAAATGTTAGTTCATTTATAAAATAACAAAATACAATGCTGTACAAACTATTTTTTTTTTTCTGAAACACTCTTGACAAATTTAGAAGCTAACTGAAATGTAATTTACAATTTCTAGATAAAAACTGTCTTGAGATTCAAATTACATTTTCTGAAATATAAAGGGTGTATTGAAATGAAAGGGCACATATGATACCAGAAGTTAACATAACATACCTATATCCCAACTCTTATAATAAAAAAGATACAGGGTGTCAAAGTGACAAATAAAAAAAATGGGTTTTCCTTGATAATTTCTAAAGTTCTTGTCAGACATGTTTCAAATTTTCTAGTTTCAGGGTGGGAAAAAATAATCATTTTTGGCTGTCGTGTGCGGGGCGCCCTCTGCAAGCAATGTTATGCATTAAACATTTAACATTAACATTTTTGTCAGCTCTTACAGCTTTTAGTAACAAAATATGAAATATTGGAATTTTTTTAACAAAAAGGGTATACTGATTGAAAACGGCTGAAGTAAACCGATGGGGAGTTATTTTTGATTTTATAAATTAATATTTTGCATTTAATACCTCCAGAATTTAACGTCCAAAACGGATATTTTTATTAATAAATTCAGAACGCATTGCTTTAAAATTAATAGTATCTATTAATAAGTGTCTATTGGCGTACTATTTTAGCGTGCATGAATACACTTGTAACTTCCATAAAAAAAGAAAGCTGTTTCACGAAAATAACAGGAACAAAATAATTTTTGGAAAAATACATATTTATTGTTAGTTTAATAGCAACTATTTGAAGAAAAGAAGAAAAGCAGTAAAACTAAGAGTCTCATAAAACAATAAATACATAATCTAAGAGAATAATTAGCTAACAATAAAAAATAAAAGATATCTTTAAGAGTGTTTTCTCGAAGTAGTTTCCATTTTGTTGTAAACTTAGTTTAATTCTACGATTAAAATTACGACGTAATGTTTCTGTTGTTCTTTAATTCCTCAGCTGCTACAAAAATTCTTTGACGAAACACACTATTTTGGTTTTGGTTTGGAATAAATAATATTTTTTAAGTGACCCCATAGAAAATAGTCCACGGGTGTGAGGTTCGGCGATCGCACAGGCCATTTGACGGATTCATCATTCTCACGACCTATCCATCTCCCAGGAAAATTTAAATTTAACCATTGCCTAACAGCTAATGTACTACGGGTAGGGCAGGAGCTCCGTCGTGTGTGTAAATATTTTCATGGATAGCTAATGACACTTCTTCAAGCAATTATACTGGGAGTTGTTCATTTATAAATCTCAGATATTCCGCTGTACTGACACGAAGAGGAAGAATAAACGGACCAATAAGCTAATCTCCTATATAGTATTGATATTCCTGAAGGTATTAAATTGGAAGTACCTACTAATTTATAAAATCAAAAATATCTCCCCAACGGTTAACTTTAGTCATTTTTATTAAATATACCCATTTCGAACAAAAATCCAGTATTTTATATTTTGTTACTAAAAGTTGTATACGAGGGTTGATAAAAATATTAATACATACAATGCTTAACATGGCGGAGGGTGCCCAGCACGCGACATCCAAAAATGACTATTATATTTTTTTCCCACCCTGAAAAAATCTCTCGCTAGAAAATTTGAAACATGTCTGACTAAAACTTTAGAAATTATTAAGGAAAACCCATCTTTTTTTCACTTTGACACCTTGAATCTTTTTTATTATGTGATTTGGGATATAGGTTTGTTAGGTTAAATCAACTTATTTTCATCTTTCTAGTACCCCTTCATTTAAATAAACCCTATATATTTAAATATTAAATTATTTATTAAGATTTATCCTTCCAATAGAGATGTTTACTTTTAAATTTTCTCAAAAAGATGGTAAAGTTTTATAACTTAACGTGTTCGTAAGGTATATACATTATTTCATCTTTTAATTAATTCACTATTACATATTTGATTAATAGTCTGCTTCGAAGCAACCTCCAAGAATAAATCCTTTCTCATCTTACTACAACTTCCCCGTAGTTCCCAGACCGTAACAGATTCTCGGCCTAAAAAGCCGCATAGAGTGATGGTAAGATCAGCTAATGATTTTCACATTTTCAGACATTAAGATCTGGGGGCACATTTGCGCGATCCTTGATAGGGTTACCCGTGTTGTTAGGGGAGTTATCCAATTAAAGATCGCCTGTTAACGCGACTACGGCAAATAAGGGGTGGGGAGCCCTTGTTAGCCGAGATATTGTCTTGTATTGGCATTTGAACAGAGGGGTTGCGAAATGACAAAATTTAATTTATTTGTTTTTCAAGTGAGACAGTTGGATAATGTATAGGATTCACTGATTTAGGTCAGCATATAAGAGAAGGTACAAAGTTTTATTTATTATATTTCATCATTTTAAAAGTTTTATAACTACACACAGGTTGTTCCAAGTTTGAATCAGAAAATATTACCAGTTGATACAATATGTGATTTTGTAAATTAAAAAAAATATCACATTCTTTCAAATATCTCTGAAGACATTTGACATAGATTGATGGAACTTGGGCCGTTGATTTATCTAATTCGATGTGAATATTTGCTAATTTAACTTACAAATACATCAACCAGTGATGGAGATACGGGAAGTTCATATCACTCGGAACTTCAGAATTTCGACGTCACTGAGAATCTTGAAGATTAAATCAGTTTCCCAATAAAAACTGCAAACTTAGTGGTATACAGGGTGTCCCGTTTAAAACTCCCCAGCTGGATATCTCGAAAACGGAAAAAGATAAATGATTTCTAAAAAAGTCCATTGTATAGTCTCAATAAATGGCTTTACTTGTGAGTACAAATCCCGTTCCTCTCAGTGCAGGTATAGATGTCGCTGCAATCCGAAAACACATTTTGTTGACAGCAGTTTTGAAAAGTGGCGCACATGAAAGACCTCTAAATTATAAGCCACTTTTGTGATATAAACAATTTTCGAAAAGCCACTAGTTTCCGAGATACTTGGATTTGAGGTAATTTTTTTCCAGGAGGAAGATTTTTTAAAGTTAAGTTTTCAGGCATAACTACTGCAGATTTTCGTCGTATTAGATTGCTTTGAATAAAACAGTGATGAATTAATTTTATTTGACTAATAGATATCACAGGAAATTACTCCATTTAATCTTGTTTCATAGTCTTTTCAATCAAGATAAAGTTATATTTATCTAACAAAAACTGATGTAAAATTAACAAAAATTACAAATAAACGATACTAAATTAACATAATA